TACAGTGAAGATTATAGTAGCTTTTCTTTGGCCTATAAACAAGTTGTGCAACTTTAGGGTTTTTTTATAAGAAAATTTACCTTGCAAGTGCTAAATCCCAGTTTGTGGGCCTCTCTATGAGTTGTGGACCTCGAAATTCTCCTTCCAACAGCGTCGCACCACAGAGCACTTAATTGTAAATAATTGGCACGCCTGTTTTTCACGATAATTCTTCTTAATGCTCTTTGGTCGGCATTTCTGATATTACTTTTTTTCACATATCGTGTCTTAATATTAACTGAACCAGTTACGTCTTCTAACAATATTTCTCACACTGTACCGCGATAAGTCTAACAAAGTTGCAATTTTTGAGTTTGATTTCTCAGAATTAAAAAAGTTAATTATCAGTAACCGAATTTTCTCACTAATAACCTTTCCTCTACCCATTTTGAAAACCTTAACTACCCAAACCTAATTTAAACGTATTCTGACAGCTGTGATTAATAAAAACAATTGTCATGGCTTTTATTTTTCACAGCCACCTATGCGTTATAGACTTATTTTGCATTGAAATGAAAACAGGTTGATATGCTGTAATTGCTACATGTGTCATTTTTATGCTGCAAATTTGATTAGAAAGTGATAAAGTTGGTGTTTTCTACTATATATTATCAAAATATTCATTGTTAATATTTTAAACCTATAACACTCTGCTAAATTTGTATTATTTGTGTTTAATAAGAAAAAAAATAAGATTTCAATAGTTGGGCCAACTGAAGTGGGAAGGGACTCGTATGTCCACTAGTTCATTGTTTTCGTACAGAATAATCAGACACATGAAAGTATACCCACTATCAAAAGACTGATGTAACTTATCGAACCAAAGACTCGTACTGAAAACCATACAATAACACAACGCTTGATTTTTTGTATATCACCTCCTTTTGACGGGTACTATGAGCAGTTAAAATAAATGAATCAACTGTGAAAGCACCCTGTATAATGTTGAATAAATATATTAATTTATTTGAATTTAATCACATGTATTTGGCCAGATTGCATACACGGCTAGGTGCAAACTGAAGTTTTAATGAGAAATGAAAATACAGTAATGGACAAAAGTACTCGTATATAGACAAATATGAATATTTACCTAAATACAAATATAAACAAAAAGGTATCTTGGAAGCATCTAAGAGAAGTGGTCGGCCTAGAAAACTAAATGCTAGATCAGTTAGATTAATAAAAGTAAGTTCGTCCAAAGATCTGTTTAAAACCCCAAGACAAGTAAAAGCCGAAATCGAAACAAAAGGAATTGCCAGTGTTTGTACGAAAACTATAAGTAGAAGATTAAATGATTTGAAGTTATTTGCACGTCGCCCTAGTAAGAAGCCGCTAATCTCGAGGAAAAACCGTAAGGACCGATTACAATTTACACGGTTGCATCGTGATTGGAGCATCTGTGTCTGGAAGAGGTGACGAATCCAAGTTCAATATGTTTGGATCAGATGGTGTTCATTAACGTTAGACGTCCTAGTGGACAAAGATTGAACCCCAAGTACACTTTGCCCCCTGTCAAACATGGAGGCGGGTCTGTTATGAACTGGGGGTGCTTTTCGGGGTTTGGGATGGGACCTTTACATAGAATAGATGGCATTATGGACAAGTTTATATTATACACAGACATACTAAAGAATTTCATGTTACCCTATATGGAAGACAATATACCCTTAAGGTCAATCTTCCAGCAAGATAATGACCCGAAGCACACTTCAAGTCGCGCAAAAAAATTCTTTCTGGATGAAAAAATACCAGTTCCCAAATGGCCTTCACAGTCTCCCATTGAAAATCTATGGGAATACTTAGATAAGCAAATACGAGAAAAAAGTTATTCAAACAAGGATGAACTTTTTGCCGCTTTAGAGCAAAAGTGGAGACATAGTGATGAATCTTATATCAAGAAGCTTCTACAATCGATGCGGAGACGATGTCAGTCGGTGATTGATAATAATGGTTATGCTACAAAATATTAACACAAACATGGTTGGTTTTCTATAATTCAATGAACTTTGCTTCTTTTTTCTATAATTGTTTTGCTTTGTCTATATATTTTTGTCCTTCATAGTTCCAGTTTTTTTCAATTTATTTTTTATTGAATGGAGACCAATGAATTTATTTATGTATAAGTGAGTATTACGCTATAACGAATTATGTATACAGATTGGTGTATTAATAAAACAAGTTAAAAAAGAAATACAGCACAATATTAATTTGTCTGTATACTTTTGTCCATTACTGTATGTCTAATAATAGGTGCGTCGAATTACTGAAGTTGGAGACGTATAAATATGCTAGCGCAAACAAATTGAGGCATAACCTCCCCCATCCCTTACAACCTCTGAACCCCAATGTTTATGACTACAACATATTTATGAAAACGATCAGCTACTGAAACGGCAGAAAATGAAGTTTGAGTGGTTTTATTCTTCTTTTTTAACGTTGGCCTATAGCTCCTCCGCCACTGGACCGATTTTTGAAAACTATAAGGCATTTCTGACCTTGTGTAAAAGTTTCATACAAATCTAAGCAGCACTTTCCAAGCTATAGGTGGGTGGGCCAAGGATTAGCGGACATATAGACCGACAAACGGACAAAAATGAGTGATGTATACTAAGTGACATATAAATCCGAACACCCAGTTTAAATGGTTTTATTTTAATAATAATTGGTGAATGTATTTATCTTACTGTAAATAACAAGTGAAAAAATTTTCAGCCTTATCAGTTGGACATTCCGGTTTTTATACTGCTTTTTTTTAATTCACTAACGCTCTAAAAATGAATATTTCAGCCGCAGTAAAGAATCAACGTTGGCGGATTTTGGTTCTTGACATCCTTTACGATAGGTTACGATGCCTAGAGTACGGAGACCTGTACGATTTCGTCAACTTAGTGAGTTTGATAGGGGCCGTATAGTGGGACTTCGGGAAGCTGGACTTTCTTTTCGGGCAATTGCAGTTAGAGTGCAAAGAAGTGTAGACACTGTGGTTAGGTGTTGTCAGGCATGGCTTCGAGAAGGCCGTACGCAAAGAGCAAGGGGCACTGGACGCCGCCGTAGAACAACAGACCGTGAAGATCGCCGCCTAAGATTATTGGCCTTAAGGGACCGTTTCTCCACTACCAGGTCCATTGCAAATGAATGGTTTGTAGAACACGGAAGACCTATTGGCATGCGAAGTGTTTACCGACGAATGAGAAGTTTTCATACCGGTCACACTGGGTCCTCCCTTTAACTCGAGAGCACCGACGTAATCGCCTTGGGTGGTGCAGGCAACGGTCACAGTATTGTCTTTAGTGACGAGTCTCGATTTTGTTTAGGCATGCACGATGGTCGTGCCAGGGTTAGAAGGTGACGTGGTGAAAGGAGGAATCCACAGTTTTTTGTTGAAAGACATGTTCATCACACTGTTGGAGTTATGGTTTGGGGTGCTATAGCTTATGGTTCCAGGTCACCTTTAATCTTCATCAGAAGTAACATGAACGCACAGCGTTATATCCATGAAGTTCTAGAACCCCATCTTTTACCCTATCTTGACACGCTGGCAGATCCAACTTTCCAACAAGATAATGCCCGACCACATGTTGCAAGAGTCACAATAGACTTCTTTCAACATAATGATGTCACATTGTTACCATGGCCACCAAGATCTCCCGACTTATCCCCAATTGAGCACGTGTGGGATATGATGGGTAGGAGATTGCTCAATTTGCAACGTCCTCCTCAGACTCTAGAAGCACTTCGAGAGGAGTTGGTGGTTGCCTGGAATGAGATACCACAGGAGGACATTGACCACCTGATCAGAAGCATGCCTAGGCGCGTTGGAGAATGCGTAGCACATCAGGGGTATCCACACATTATTAAAGGTCAAAGGGCTTTAAAGCAGTGCAATCATTTTGAAGTTTTTATCATTTACTTATTATGCTTCATTAAGTACTTATACAAAATTTTATTAAAATAAAACCATTTAAACTGGATCTTCGGATTTATATGTCACTTAGTATACATGTCAGATAACAACCTAAAACATATGAAGGGTGCCGGACTGATTTTGAGAAAATCGGTAATTAAGGGTTACTTACTTGTCGGAAAGTAAAATTGATGACAAAATAAGTCTTAAAGAATATCTTTGCTAAACAGTGTGTTCATTGGTAAAATAGATTTTACAAAATGAACTTTTACTCAAAACTAGTAACGTAACAAACAAAAGATGATGTTCAACTCTGAACTCGTGCCACTTTTCCCCTGCTTTAAGCGTCTATTGGCGGGTCATCGACATATTCATCACTGCTGTCTTCTGGATGATCAAGAGATACTAACTGTTGATAAAATGCCCTGGAATCTGCTCTCTCTAGAAATTCGGTCAGATCCTGCAGATCCTTCCATTTCTTACTTTTAATTGGGATTGGGCCCTGGTAAATTTTTCTCAATGTTTCCTCTTCTCGTTTTTGTTGATCTTTTTGCGTCTTTTTTAGATTCTTCCGAATTACCTCATCAAATTTAGAACTAGCATATAGGCCCATGTATGTCGATTTGTGAAAAACTACGCGAGGATTCTGTTTACTTGAGCATCCTGACTGGTCGGGTTGGAAAGGGACACTTCGTTGGATAAAACGGCGATAAAAACGTACTCCAATCTTGAAAATTAAAATTTTGGCCACAATCAATGACTTCAAATGGTGTAGCTTTCACACGGCAATTTTTCAGTTCATCTCTCCAGTCATCCGGTACCTCAGTGTATGCTCTTTGGTTCACGAGACTCATCTCTCTATCATAATCGAGGTATGAATGCCCCCTGATCGGGAATATTACTTTCACAGTAGTAAAACTATTTTTCTTGGTAACCACGTAATGCAAAAACCGAATAACAGCGAATGTAAAAATAATAGTCCTGACTCCTGACATTCCTTCGACAGAGATAATCTGCTTCGGCTTTGGCAGAGTATATTTCCGGCTTCAGAAAAGGATCTCTCTGAGCGAACTGTTGTGTCAACAATAGATAGAGATATTTATTAACCAGTTCTTTAAATATCTCCGAGGAAGAACTGAAGCTATTCCAGTACAAAAAGGGATTCGAGTTCAGGGGTATGGTATGACTATGTAAATACAGTTGTAGCTCAAGATCAATATCTGATTTTGTATTACCATATTTATCTGCGTGCTTTTGGACCAGTTTTTCATGGTAGGCCCAAACACTCGGATTTTTCAACAATATTAATATGATTTTGCCCTGCTTTTTCAGTATTTATTTCCTTCTTGCGCAACTGAAGTGACTGATTTAGGAAAGTGACTGCATATTTGCACACGAAATTGGACTGTTAAAGTGCAATCATTTAAAACAAGGGTCCAGGATATTTGGGACAGCTAAAAGTTTAATCCGTTTTATGCTTTCAAAACGTTTTGAAAGTTCCTCGAAAGCGTCAAATTTTCATTTTTTTAAACAGGCAATTTTATAATAAAATAAAATTTTACATAATACCTCCCCAGTATAAAAATCTCACCAAAATCTTCCCCATTCAAATAAAAATCCCCTGATTTTTGGGGAAAAGCCCCTAATATGGCAACCCTGAAATCCATAATAAATTATATGAGGTCGTAAATTGAGTAGCATCAGCGGTAGGAAACAGAAGAAAAGTAATCTGAAGTTAGTCACTATTTCTGACACAGTCCGCGTCGAAAGATAACGATACTCGTGAAATGTATCGATGCACCCAAGTATCGTATATAAAAAGATCGATCCAAAATATCGTGTATCGGAAGCAAAAGTATCGATACTTCTAAATATAAAGTTCGTGGGTAGTGGCACGCAACGTTTTCATTACGTCTCTTTGTCTTCCTGTTTTTTTTTGCGTTTTTTCGTTTCTCTGTTTGATGGTCCTGGTTCATTTTCAATTGAAACTGAATAGTCACTATCTATTATACACAAAACCCGTATTATAAACTTAATTAGAGAATATAGTCAATATTCAAAATATCAGCGTATACAACACACGTAGACTCTAATAGTAAACTAATGGCTGATGCAATAACGAAGCGCCCAAGCGGTACGGCTGATGCAACGCCGCCTTTCCATATGGACTTTCCATACACGCGCAGGGACTCATGCCATTCTTCCCTGGCACAGCTGTTGTTTTGTGAACCTAAGTCCTTTTTACAAGTTAAGAAGCTGATTACAAGATATCATCAGGAAAATATACTAAGTGACATATAAATCCGAACACCCAGTTTAAATGGTTTTATTTTAATAAAACTTTGTATAAGTACTTAATGAAGCATAATAAGTAAATGATAAAAATTTCAAAATGATTGCACTGCTTTAAAGCCCTTTGACCTTTAATAATGTGTGGATGCACCCTGATGTGCTACGCATTCTCCAACGCGCCTAGGCATGCTTCTGATCAGGTGGTCAATGTCCTCCTGTGGTATCTCATTCCAGGCAACCACCAAATCCTCTCGAAGTGCTTCTAGAGTCTGAGGAGGACGTTGCAAATTGAGCAATCTCCTACCCATCATATCCCACACGGGCTCAATTGGGGATAAGTCGGGAGATCTTGGTGGCCATGGTAACAATATGACATCATTATGTTGAAAGAAGTCTATTGTGACTCTTGCAACATGTGGTCGGGCATTATGTTGTTGGAAAGTTGGATCTGCCAGGGTGTCAAGATAGGGTAAAAGATGGGGTTCTAGAACTTCGTGGATATAACGCTGCGAGTTCATGTTACCTCTGATGAAGATTAAAGGTGACCTGGAACCATAAGCTATAGCACCCCAAACCATAACTCCAACAGTGTGATGAACATGTCTTTCAACAAAAAACTGTGGATTCCTCCTTTCACCACGTCGCCTTCTAACCCTGGCACGACCATCGTGCATGCCTAAACAAAATCGAGACTCGTCACTAAAGACAATACTGTTCCATTCCTGATCCCAGAGTGAACGTTGTCTGCACCACTCAAGGCGATTACGTCGGTGTTCTCGAGTTAAAGGGAGGACCCAATGTGGCCGGTATGAAAACAAGCCAAAACTTCTCATTCGTCGGTAAACACTTCGCATGCCAATAGGTCTTCCGTGTTCTGCAAACCATTCATTTGCAATGGACCTGGTAGTGGAGAAACGGTCCCTTAAGGCCGATAATCTTAGGCGGCGATCTTCACGGTCTGTTGTTCTACGGCCGCGTCCAGTGCCCCTTGCTCTTTGCGTACGGCCTTCTTGAAGCCATGCCTGACAACACCTAACCACAGTGTCTACACTTCTTTGCACTCAAACTGCAATTGCCCGAAAAGAAAGTCCAGCTTCCCGAAATCCCACTATACGGCCCCTATCAAACTCACTAAGTTAGTACTCTAGGCATCGTAACCGATCGTAAAGGATATCAAGAACCAAAATCCGCCAATGTTGATTCTTTACTGCGGCTGAAATATTCATTTTTAGAGCATTAGTGAATTAAAAAAAAGCAGTATAAAAACCGGAATGTCCAACTGATAAGTCTGAAATTTTTTTCACTTGTTACTTACAGTAAGATAAATACATTCAAAAACTTTTATTAAAATAAAACCATTTAAACTGGGTGTTCGGATTTATATGTCACTTAGTGTATCACCAAAATAAACTGAAACCTCAATTTAGCCTAATAATGTACTAATGCCGTTTTTCCCCGGTACCCTTCATACCTAATCACCTACCATCAGTAAGCGTGGGAGGTAATAGTAAGACTTATAACAAGCTACTTTAGTAAAAGACCATAGATTTGGACTAGTGGCCCATTATTTTTTTGGTTGACGCCTTTTAGGATTCTGATATTTATATCCAACACACAGCCTGTGTGAAAATTAGTCATGATTTTGTTTATTTCAGATGAAGCCTTAGAAGACCTGATATCAGAAATCGTCAGAGCTAGCAATAGGGGAGTGTCTGCCATCAGAAACGCGACAGGGGAACCGAACTGGAGTTTCGGACAATCACTGTTTTTCTCTAGCACGGTTGTGACTACGATAGGTAAGGCAACTGTCACTTTGATAATTTGTTGCATAAGGTCATATGCTGAGTGACAAAAAAATGGTAAACGCCTACGTATGTTTATTAGAATTCAATATTTTTTTATCAGTTAAATGTCAAATTTGGTGCAGAATAACGGTTTGTCAAATGGTGAAATCGGCCCTTAATCAAATATGCGACGATGATGAAAACGACAATTTGAATAAGTGTTTGGTATGTGATGAATTTGATCGCAACAATGAGTTATTGTACAGATGCACTTCTTGTGGCGTATGGGCACACGCTAGTTGCACAGGATGGGTCTCGCCAAAAGGTTACGTATGTGACAATTGTTAGGCTAGGCTGACTCTCATTGTCCTCATAGTGTCAATGAATGTATAAGAAATCGTTGATCCTCAACGCAGTATTGAACCAGCTTCTGCAGTCAGTTGACGAATCAAGCTGAAAATTTAATCATTTTTAATAATTATTAAAATCGGATAAACATACGTAGGTGATTACCTTTTTTGTCACTCATATGTACAGACTGTACTTATTTCTTCAAACAGAACCGTAAAGAAGAAATCCGCATGCTCCATCAGTGTTTCTCAAAGTGCGGGTGTCCAAAATAGATATAAACATTACTTTGTGACAGCATGTATTTTTATTTTAATAACGCCATAAATCAGCCTCTAATTACACAGGTCCGCAAAAAAAAATTGTTTGGAAGCTGTTTTTGCCATTTTAACTGATTTATATTGTTTGTGACACACTGAATCTAAAAATATTTTTTCACAAATTGGGTATCGGTTTTTTTTTTATATCGAAACAGCCGCGCACGCAAAATCCTAAATGCCGGAACACCGCGGCTGCTATGATGATCCCAAAGAAATTTTGTTAATACGATTTTTGAACTGCCTAAGGTTAGTAGAACTGGGAAAAGCTTCTTCTTGTAGATTGTTCCACAATATCTACACACTCGGGACTAAGGAGCGATCGCATCGGCCAGTTCTGGATGTACGAAGTTCGACACGGTTAGGAAGGGACGCCAAAGTCAGGCGGGTCTGTCTGGCAGGCACATTGCGCAGCGGCATCATGGAAGAGAGCTCTGAGGAGCAAAGCCCGTTGGTGTAGAGATAGAAAAGAGCTAGATCGCCGACGGCCCGCCGGTGCGAAAGAGTCACGAGACTGTCTGTTAGAGAAGAGACATCGATCAGTCGGACCGCCCTACTCTGGACAGCATCGAGCATGGATAATGTAATCGGGGCGGCAGCACCCCAAACGTGTGAGCAATACTCGAGGCTAGGCCTTATCTGGGCCTTGTATAGAGTGAGAAGGTCATGCGGAGAAAAACACTTCTTAGCCCTAAACAATAGCCTAGCTTTTTCCCAGCAGCTGCAGCTATTGACGAGATGTGTTCGTGCCAGATCGGGTCCTCGGTCGTCCATCGAAACTGGATAAGCGCTAGGACGCTTTTTGTTCGTCAAAGTACAGTACTGTGTTTTGGAAGCATTGAACTGTACAAGATTGTTGCGTCCCCAAGCAGTAATAGCCTCCAGGTCTCTTGTCAGAGAGGAAGTCGTCCCTAGTCTTCTTTTTTCCAGCTCAGCGGTAGAGATCGGCTTGTCACCCTGAATGTCTGCATGTAGAGTGCTGTGGATTGGGTTGATCGTGCAGGAAAGGAGGTCGTTGATATGTAAGAGAAACAGTGTTGGAGTCAAGACCGATCCCTGTGGAACACCCGCGTTGACGTTGTGGGATGAAGAGGAGAACCCGTCAATTACGCCGGATATCTTGCGGCCAGAGGTAAAGTCAGCCACCCATCTGCAAAGCTTTTCTAGGAGGCCATAGGATGGAAGTTTGCTTAAGAGGGCAGCGTGCCGCAGCTGATCGAACGCTTTCGTGATGTCAAGAGCAACGACATGAGCCCCACCATAAGACTAGATGAGTTTACTCCACAATTGCGTGACGTAAGCTAGAAGGTCCCCTGAGGATCGTTGGTGCCGGAAACCGTACTGCCTGTCGCTAATCAAGCTGTGACATTCGAGGTAGTCCAGAAGCTCACGATTAATGCACCTCTCCATCACCTTACTTATAACAGAAAGCAGCACTATAAGCCTGTAGTTGTAAGAGTCAGTCTTAGATCCTTTTTTTGGGATAGGTTGGACATGAGCAAATGTCCAGTTTTCTGGAAAGGTGCCGGATTCATAAGATATCTGGAAGAGACGCGAAAGAACTGGAGCAAGCTCCGCTGCACATCTCTTCAGTACAATGGCAGGAATCAAGTCCGGACCAGAAGCTTTGTTGATGTCGAGCGACAAGAGCACTCGTCTTACGGTCTTATGCCTGAATGTTACCTCCCGCATAGTGTAGTGAACCCTTTGAATTGACGGCACTTGGGCATTGGGGGGGACGTCCATGGTGGAGTTGGCAGCAAAGATCTTGGCTAGCACTTCCGCCTTGGCCTTTGAGTTGAATACAATAGTTCCATCCTGACACGTAAGTGGTGGGAGGCTACTGTGTGAGAAGTTCTTTTCAATCTGCTCGGCCAGCGTCCAGAAGGACCGACTGCCATTGCGCTGCCACATTACCCTTTGCCTAATTTTTATATCATGCTGGTTTTTGGCATTGCGAACCGCTTCGTTGTATTTGTTTCTGGACTCGACGTCGGCTTGTCTGTTCTCTACAGTGGGGTTTTGTAAGAAGGTTCTGTGTGCCTTGATCTTCTGCTGACGAGCAGTGTCACGCGATTTGTTAAACCAGCCGTTGTACCCTCTGAGCCCCTGCCAGTCGGCATGTCCGTAATGTCCAGCTTTGCGGCCTGTACGAGTTTCTGCTGCCACAGCGGGTTCTGACCGAAACCTAACATCCACAATACCGTGGTCTCAGTTACCCAGGGGGGACAGGGCAGCAGTGCTGTAAGGGACAGGATGCGTGGTCAGAAAGAGATCCAGCAGGCTACTGGCGTGTGACGAGATGCGGGGAAAAAAGTAGGGCTCGTCACCAGCTGGGTCAGCCCTTGAGTAAGAGTGAACGCTTCGACTGCACGACCTGCTGCATCGGTCTTGTTTGAGCCCAACCAAAGCTTTGCAAGGTATTACTAGTAAGAGATATAAGTTGCTTATAAAAATATCTGAAGTTATTTTTAACCTTTTTATAATTTATTTTTTAATACAAATGAGCTACGGACTTAAAATCGTTGCTTCTTAGCTGTGAGTCTCTTAAATTTCCGCTTACGTATAGCATCTGATTTGTCCCCCTGTATCATCCAGCAGTTGTCTGCTATCATAGTGGTGCACCAGTTTCCTTGATATCTTTTTTCTATCTTCTTGTCTATGTCTTGATGGAAATGTTCCCCTTGCTCCGCACTTACAGCACAGTCCATGTGGGATTTAAGCGAATGTACCTTCAGGCTCATGAGTCAACCCAATTCATTAAAAACCTTTATTGTTGCCCAAAAATTTCTCCACAGCACCCTTAAATGCGAACCATTCTTACCTCTGGAGATCTGTCATGGTGTTGGCAAACTCTTGATCCGCTAGGAGCTTTCTGATATCTGGCCCAACAAATACACTTTTAATTTCGTCTCCGAAAGACCTGAAAGCTTTTTAATCAGGTATTTGAAGCATTCTACATCTTTTGGGAGAGATTTGAGGAACTATTTCATTAGGCCTACTTTTATACTCGTATGTAGGGGAGGAAGGAGAATTTTTTCGTAGAACATTGTGTCCACCAACCGTAAGCGTCACTACTCACTACCGACCAGTGATTTTTTCGATCTCGACTTTCCCGTAGGCATAAAAAACAACAAGACCTCTATATCACCGCTCATTTGCCAACCATGACCTTCATATTTGAGTTCCGCAAGAATCACAGGTCTCTTTCAAACCACCCTCGTAAGAGTGATGGTAGTGAAAAAATGGATGAGAAACTGACAAAATATGGATTGGTTTCTAAAGCCTACCATCTATTGACAAAATGAGGTGCTCCAAATACGCCGGAGTTATGAGAGATAAAAGGAAAAATTTCATAACCTGCTCAAACTTTGTGGGTCGATGTGTTTTGAGTTTGTTAACCTACTGACCAATTTAGAGCATACTTAAAAAAATTAAGGCCCTTGAATATTTTGGAATCGTTCAGCTTGATGCTTACAATTTATATACTAAGTGACATATAAATCCGAACACCCAGTTTAAATGGTTTTATTTTAATAAAAGTTGGTGAATGTATTTATCTCACTGTAATTAACAAGTGAAAAAAATTTCAGCCTTATCAGTTGGACATTCCGGTTTTTATACTGCTTTTTTTTAATTCACTAACGCTCTAAAAATGAATATTTCAGCCGCAGTAAATAATCAACGTTGGCGGATTTTGGTTCTTGACATCCTTTACGATCGGTTACGATGCCTAGAGTACGGAGACCTGTGCGATTTCGTCAACTTAGTGAGTTTGATAGGGGCCATATAGTGGGACTTCGGGAAGCTGGACTTTCTTTTCTGGCAATTGCAGTTAGAGTGCAAAGAAGTGTAGACACTGTGGTTAGGTGTTGTCAGGCATGGCTTCGAGAAGGCCGTACGCAAAGAGCAAGGGGCACTGGACGCCGCCGTAGAACAACAGACCGTGAAGATCGCCGCCTAATATTATTGGCCTTAAGGGACCGTTTCTCCACTACCAGGTCCATTGCAAATGAATGGTTTGCAGAACACGGAAGACCTATTGGCATGCGAAGTGTTTACCGACGAATGAGAAGTTTTGGCTTGTTCTCATACCGGTCCTCCCTTTAACTCGAGAACACCGACGTAATCGCCTTGAGTGGTGCAGACAACGGTCACTCTGGGATCAGGAATGGAACAGTATTGTCTTTAGTGACGAGTCTCGATTTTGTTTAGGCATGCACGATGGTCGTGCCAGAGTTAGAAGGCGACGTGGTGAAAGGAGGAATCCACAGTTTTTTGTTGAAAGACATGTTCATCACACTGTTGGGGTGCTATAGCTTATGGTTCCAGGTCACCTTTAATCTTCATCAGAGGTAACCTGAACGCGCAGCGTTATATCCACGAAGTTCTAGAACCCCATCTTTTACCCTATCTTGACACCCTGGCAGATCCAACTTTCCAACAAGATAATGCCCGACCACATGTTGCAAGAGTCACAATAGACTTCTTTCAACATAATGATGTCACATTGTTACCATCGCCGCCAAGATCTCCCGACTTATCCCCAATTGAGCACGTGTGGGATATGATGGGTAGGAGATTGCTCAATTTGCAACGTCCTCCTCAGACTCTAGAAGCACTTCGAGAGGAGTTGGTGGTTGCCTGGAATGAGATACCACAGGAGGACATTGACCACCTGATCAGAAGCATGCCTAGGCGCGTTGGAGAATGCGTAGCACATCAGGGTGCATCCACACATTATTAAAGGTCAAAGGGCTTTAAAGCAGTGCAATCATTTTGAAATTTTTATCATTTACTTATTATGCTTCATTAAGTACTTATACAAAATTTTATTAAAATAAAACCATTTAAACTGGGTGTTCGGATTTATATGTCACTTAGTATATAAAACGAACTAAACTGTTAAATAGATTTATATCAATTAGGTGATCTACTTCACTCCATTTTTCAGGTTACGGGCATGTGACGCCTCTAAGTAGGAGTGGCAAGATATTTTGCATAGTGTATGCAGTAGTTGGAATCCCTTTAACGTTGGTCCTGTTGTCTGCGTTGGTAGAAAGGCTACTAATACCAACGATATGGCTGCTACAATGGCTCAACTCCCGTTTGGGACATCTATACCAGCCTTTTAACATAAGGATCGTGCATTTGTTCGTTATAGGTAAGTTAGATTACACTTGATCTATTCTTTACATAGGAATAAGGAATTTCGACAAAATATTGGTTGGAAGGTAAGCCTCTGATTACTGTAACATCTTAACCTTATCCCGTGGTTTGCATATCGATAATCCCCCATACTTGTCTGGCCAATCAACCACATGTATTGACAGTTTTTGTTTACTGTAGTAAACATTTCAATCACAAAGGTGATCTTCAGTACAATGACATAATTTGATTTATCTATCTTCAAGGTGACAGTCCTTTGTTTTTTCTTAACCCATATTATGCTGAGATTGGGTTAAGTTATTATAATAGTAATAAATTCGTCTTTATTAGGCACATGCAGGTACATACATACATTATACTAGTGGCGAAGTTTAGCCTTGGAGTCTTCTCACACTTAACCATTAGTGCGGAAACGTATACAAAGTATACGTTGTCACGAGAAGAACAAAAAGTTAATATATAAAATCCAAGATAGCGTATGAAATAAAGCAAGATAAAGCATGGTACAAACTACGAATTGTCATACACCTAAAAAAAAGAAGGAAAAAAGAATGCAGATAAATGGTGGACATGAATATTAAGCAATAACTATGCATAGCGTGCATTACTATTGCTTATTAATATACTTAGGGTGGATTTCACCACGATTGTCAAATCAACAGTCCGTTATTCTCCACCTATAGGGTAACAGTCCGTCAAATACAGCGAATGAGACTCAAGTTCCAATCAACAAATTTTAGCAACCAACAGCTATGAAATGTTGAAAACAAAATATAGTCAAAATCACGGAAGATGACGAATACGTCATCATTTTAGTCTGTAGTAAAGACAAACGACAGCGATTTGTGAATATTTTTAATCAAGTTTCAGATATGTTAGACAGAGACAAACATTATTTTATTGTCTAAATAAACTGTATTCCTAATTTGCATGTATCCGACAAAGATAGACGATGTTTCCATGTTGCATGATCGATCATATTTGAAAGATGAATAGTTAGGTTATGTTAAAGCAGGTGAGGTTGTTTTCGAATAACACTTTGGTCTTTGGTGTTCCTGTCGTAAGGTATTCTCCCAACTAACAATTATCACTCCTATTAGAGTTGCAAGAATGATTATACAGTATTCCTTACACAGCATTGTATACTGTAAGAACATTGACAAAACCCTCTTAAAACAGCTATACAAGCGGAATGGGCACACCTAATAGGACACTTCAGTCATTTAAGAGGTTGTAGAAAGGCAGCAGGTAACAGTTATGCAACAAAAGTGTAAGCCTCTTGCAGCCGCTATAGGACATTTGCGTCAGTGCAAGATTCAGTTTTTGTCAACTATACAACTATTCTGTTACGTGATTCTACTTTATTGCAACCAAACTATTTCTTATGTATTGTATAGACGAAGTGAAGGATATATAACTAACACATTACAGTCATCTTGTCTACTTACATATCGGCCATGGTGAATTTCATACACAGGTATATGATAAACTTCTACACTGTGATATTTGATACTGGTATTTGATTCATATTTTGACAATGATCAAAAGTATGTCTAGATGGAAAACTGAACTTATCTGCGTTAAATTTTCCACAAATCCTATATTTAGACACAATTACACTAATCTTTATCTCTTTATATCTGTAATTTCGAACTGAAACATAATCATTTAATATTAAATAGAGGAATAAATGTTTGCCAATATGGCGGTTGGTTGTGTACAATCATGGCATCGTCCATGTTGTCTTTAGGTTATTAGAATACTTTGGTGTTGCCCGCAGGTGTTATACAAAAATTTGACAAATGTCTGAAATGAAATACCGACAGAGTCGAATGATTTACCCAGAATTTGTACCAGATCTATATCTTCTGTTTGAACAGTTGATAAAACCTTTTGAACCAACATGCATGCGTTGTTTGTCTTAAAACATTGGATATGGCATTTTACAAAAATATGACAGCAGAAAGTTAGGTTATGGTGAAGTTGTTTACCAACATATTCAGCATAATATGTACAGCCTTTAACAGTTATTAAACAACAGTTGTATAAGTGCTTCCGTTGGGAGCAATTTGTTGGCAAAAGTAGTAAATTGCACAGCAAAACAACAAGGCTCGGGTTTGTTTTATAAACGTTACCATGGATGCCACAACACAACCATTTTGACTAACGTGCAAATATGCCGTATAAACATTTATGCAACAGTTAAAAATTTGCCCTATAAGATGTTGTATAACTATGCTATAAGAATATTTTAAACACCTCATTTTAGAGCAAATATGTTGCAGAAAGCAAATTTGCATTCCACACAACATTAAGCCAGCATTTTGGTGTTCAGGCAACAACAATAGAGAGCTTTTATGGCTGAACGGTTCTTTTACCAAAAGCTTATACCACTACTTTGCTAGTTGAGTAGCTACTCATAACTGTTTTTTTTTTTTAACAAAAACTCCCCACTAAAATTATCACTCAAAACCATGATATAAAATGAAAATAAAAATAATCAGTGAAATAACCAAAATCATAATAAGTATAAATTTGTTTTCATTATGTTCCTGACATCATCATTATGTCATCGACGTACGTCTATTGATTACTTCAGTACAATTAATGGTATGAGATGACAGCTTGTCATTGAAACATCACCAGCTTATCGAATATTAAGAAATTACATGTACTTTAGTCAAGATTCAAAAAAGTGTTCGATTTTTGAATAAAATTCATTGTCGATTGCTTATTCATGTTTATAGTATTTTCTTCAATTGATATGCGATTTTACCGATTCAACGTCGCCTACCGTGTGTTCTTTTCGTGCAGATAGCCATTAAGCACCTACTTGATGACAGGCTCTACCAAAAATGTCATAGATATTGCCATTATAGCACCGTCGATTGATATTCCGACAAAACCATTCAGGATTTTTGATATCCATACATCCATAGTCAAGTATTTTTTTTCTCAATTTGAAGTTCAGGATAAACTTGTTTGTATATAAAGCACGGAGTCGCAGGTAGGATTTCTTTAGAAGATTCTTTACGTGGTCCGTGAACCCAAGTCTCTGGTCATCGTAAATCCTAATATTTTTGTACACGGAGAGACATTTATTTTTTCTGACTCAGAGCATAAAAGCATTGCATTGGACTTTGATGCATTTATGGCAAGATTGTGCGATTTTGAAAATTGGCAAATTGGCAGAGCCTTTCAATATCAGAGTTTAAATTTTTTTGAGTATCGTAGATATTATCTATATCAAAGTAGTGAACGAGCTGCGTATCATCGGCAAAAGATTGTATCTCTGAGCTGTTGACATTTTTTTGGCAAGTCAGCAATATATAAAAGAAAAAGTGGCGGCCCAAGGACCAATCCTTGGGATACAAAATTTGAAGTTTTGGATACGGTTAGAGAAACACATCGAGTACGATTTTCTATGTAACTTCTGAAAAAAATATTGGCTTTTTGATCGAAGCCATACGCCATATGCAAAACCAGCATAGCCCAGGTCTGCCTGGGGTAGGCATTCCCGTTCCAAAAAGGACGGCTAGACTTCCAAAATGACAAGTATGAGGCTGTCTGTTGTTTTCTAATGTACCTGATACGTCATTCTGGTTCATCGTCCTGAAAACAGCAAAGGTTCTCCAACAAACCGCGAAAACCCACCAAGAATAAAATGTTGCAAATGCAAAACAAAGCATCTGAAACGCGAGAGCTCAACTACTGAACCAGGTTTGTTTAAAAATACTCAGAATTAAGCATTATTTTTCTTGATGTGCTGAAAAACCCACATAAAAGGCATGCCAAAGTCTAAATTTTTAGTAAAACCTCTTCTCACGTCTGACTTCAGCACCCTGTAGAGTGGGAGGATCAAGTACGATCACTGTGCCAATTTGTCGAAAATATTGGCCAACTATTGGCAATTTTTGAATTGTATTATTGTTATTCACCTTCTGCTGCTTTTTTGTTCTTTTTTTTTATACTCCAACTACCACGAAGGCCTAAGGCCTAAGCACCCTTTGGGTACCGTGGGGCTATAGGGGGATACATGGGAAAGGGAGGGGGGACGCCACACGGACTCTGGCGAGGGAACACGTGTGCATGCAACATGCACACATTCTGGCTCCGCCTACGAGATCCGCCGGGTGGTACCTCCGCGTTCGACAGTCAGAGACCATTTACCACCTACGGACAATCACAACATCCATAACCAAGAGAAAAATTTCTCCTGGGACGGGACTCGAACCCGCACAGCGCACGGCGACTGATCAGGAGACCGAAGAGTCTACTACTGCGGCCACCGCTGCTGCCTGGTTTTATTGCAGTTATAATGGATCGTCAGCATTCGTAGATATCAGAAACAAACAATATATGGCTTGGATACAAAAGAGTAGACAAGATTGATGTTAAATGTGTAATGATCAGTGTAATGATCACAGTGGCAACCATGTCGCACACTCAAAAAATGGCAGCTTATTCGCAACTGACGTCTGATTGGCCAGATTTAATTTTCCCGCGGATTTCTTCCTATACTTTTGTCAAGAAGTCAATTTACTAACATTTATATGCCTTTTGATCAGAGTTGTGAAATATAAAAATGTAAGTACACAAAGCTATAATATCTTTGTAAATAGTATAATAGACAAACTCCAAATAAAAACTGTTTCTTTTTTAAGGTGATCCAAGGTGATTCCAGTCAGTAGTGATGCTTCCTGAGGAAGATCAGAGATGCAGCAGCGTTTACTCATTTGAGGAATGTAATATTTGAAGATCATACTCATAATCTCCACTACGAAAAGTTCAACAGCTGCAGTTGTCAACCCCTGAGGTCCTGAGAATTATCAGAAGTTCGGAAATTACTTGTGATCTAACCCAAGGATATTTGCAGATCATAACATTTGTATGTTTTTATATGACTCAATAACCAGTGATGCTGCTTTTTGTCCAATTTAGTTTCTATATTTCGTTTTAAATCAGCTATGCTTGTTCCGAAAGTTGTTGTATCCAGTATACAACTTCTTCCCGTTCAAGTGATTGCATGCGCGTTAAAGAACACCTCAGTACCGATTGCCGGGTGGCGGTACAGGTCCACCAACGGGTCACTTTAGGTCTATTTAATATCACCAACATGTAAAAAGAAGGTGGTAGATAAGGACCAGTCGACCGAGGCGGTACCACCCGCTAGCTTTTCCCAGGATGTCTTATAAATGTCCGCATGTTTCCACACCTAAGCTATGCAGTCGGTTATCTTCCAAAACATAGAAATTAATGATGATGATCCCTCGAGCAGTAAGAACTCCGGACGTAAACTCATTCCACTCTCGGAATGTCCGGGTGGAGGGTGGGCTCGAGGGAACAACATCGAAGATAAAATTTGTTTTTCGAACATCTGCGGGATTAACAGCAACATTGATGCTGTTTATCACTACTTGCAATCCAGTCGTCCCGCCGTGCTTTCCTTGGAGGAGACAAAATCTCAGAGCCTGCACCGATTGACCATCTCAACTTCCCAAACTACGAGGTGAACTCCAATCTGAGAAAGAACGGGGGAGTTGTGGCTTTTGTCCGCAGCAGTCTTTCCTGCTCCAGAGATGTTTCTTTGGAATCAGGCCGGAAGGCATTCTGTGGCTTCGCCTCAACTCCAAACCATCACCCAAATTTATTTGCTGCCTTTATCGCTCTCCCTCGGACCATAACTGGGATGACTTACTCGAATACCTCGCCGTCCAGATCGACTTCCTGAACATCAATCATCCCGCTTCAGAGGTAGTTCTTCTCTCGGAGATTTCAATGCCCATAATGAGCTTTGGTTGGGCTCAAACAAGACCGATGCAGCAGGTCGTGCAGTCAAAGCGTTCGCTCTTACTCAAGGGCTGACCTTCTGGTGATGAGCCCTACTTTTTTCTCCCCGCGTCTCGTCACACGCCAGTAGCCTGCTCTTTCTGACCACACATCCCCCCCCCCCCCCATTACAAAACCTAAAGTATTGTATTGATCCTACAATTAAATCAGCAAGACGAGCCTTCTGAGATGGACTAACCACTGGCCTAAAGAATCCGTCAGGTACGTGTATCTAACCAGTTCGTCCTTTGTGTTGTAAAAATGGTGTCAAGTGGACTGAATCTATGAGCCCACGGTGAAACTTTAGCTATATCTGGTGGATTTGGAACCAACACCTGTTAGATACTCTGCTTGTATTATTATTAGTTTTCTTGAATACTATATGAAATAATCATTTCCAGGAAAAGGGAAATGATTTGTTATCTGTCACATTGGCAGTGAAGATTGCTTTGTACCCACTGCCGTATGGGTATTTCAGTCAGAGAAAACGACCGACTACCATGAAGAAATGGTACTGGAGTTATTTTAAACGACGGTTTAAAGAAACGCTCCCAAAGCTTGACGACAATGCCGTCATTGTACTTGATAATGCTGCATACCACACTAAAAAACTAGAAAAAATCCCACAACGTCCACAAGAAAGGCAGAAATTCAACAATGGCTCCTATCACAAGACATTAGTTTCAATGAAAATATGGTCAAAGCAGAACTTATCCATCTAGTCAGGCAGCACAAATATACATATAATCTTAATGTTATTGACTAAATGACTAAAAACCAAAATAATACCGTTTTAAGCCTACCCCCTTATCACTGCAAATGAAATCCCATTGAAATGATTTGGGAAAATATAAAAAACTATGCGGCTTCGAACAAATAGAACATTAAAATTTTCTGCCGTAATTTTTTTTATGTAGCTGTCAACAGAGTGACGACAAACCATTGGAAAGACTGCATCTGTCACGTTCAAGAGACAATCGAAACATAAATCAAATCCAAGCGAATAACCAAAATTTCTGTGTTACGTACTGCGGTTATAATGTGGTTGAAGATGACACACGGGTTGATGACGTCAGTTACTCGAATCGCTTGAACGCGTTGTTTATTTTAGAAAACCGCGTATATAATTTCTGATTATTTTTATTATCACTTAATAATCGGTGCTTTTTCGTCTACAACGGTGTATGGAAAGGTTAAAAAAGATGAAACCATGTCTTTGTAGCTATGATAACTTTCAATTCTCTAAACTTTTCCGCAAGTCAGAGAAAAGATTTATTGTTTTAGCAGCAATAATAGGAAAAAGCGAAGAAAAAAGATATTAGCAAAACCGTATACAGGTGGACATCATCCAGTGAGTTTATATTGCCATATTTTAATATTCTTGTGGTATATGGCTACACAGGATACTTTGTTAAGCATAGGAACTAGATTTAAAGTATCCCTAACAACAGTAATGAGTATAACTAATAAGGTGCTCTAATTTATGCTACAACTGAAGTCAACCTATATCAAGTTTCCCAAAAATGAAGCTGAAGTACAATAAAATAACCAATACCCGGCAAAATTCTGACTTGACACATTTCAAATAACAACCAAAAATATAAAACTACCCCTGAGTTGGGTAAATACCATAACTTTGCGGTGATAACTATGACATATAACAGCTGATTCATGACGTCACGGATCTTATAACCAAACTGATAACCACACTCGCTTGAACGGATCGGTAAATAGAAATCCAAAATGGTAAATACCATTTTCATTGGGTTATTCGCTTGAATTTGATTAAAGATGTGGGATCTGGACAATATGATCGATATTCAGATTGAACCTGTAATAATTAATATTAACCGTTCGGACGATGATTCAAGTACTTCCAACGAATAAATAATTGTGAAAAGTATGTGCACTTCTTTCAATAAAAATAACCATTTATTTTGTTAGATTATTCCAATACCATTAAGAAAAATACGGACCTGTACAATCTCGCTTTTGGGCATGTTGTGTTTTTTTCTGGGCGTGAATGGACTACGAATGGGGTATACACCTTCTTCAATATATATGTTTTGTGCATATAAGGAAAACCTCGTGTAAACTCTTGATCTTTAATAAAACCAAGGACGATAAAAAGACATAGACATCAAACGTGTATCAGAACATTGACAACATAAACAATAGGAAAATACATGCAACTGAAGGAAGATGGCGGACAGTCGTCAGCTGTCATGGGCGTATCATAATCGGTGTAATGGAGCCATAGCTGGAAAACGATTTTTGTGGAGTTTTTGGACACTTCAATGAATGTAATCGTATTTTGCATTATGAAATGCAATAACTTGTCATTCAAATAAATTATTCATTATAGCACAGAATCAAGTAGCCTTATTTTAATGGATTAGATAAAATGTTAGCTGCAAAAACTCTTGCTCGCATACGAATATAGATGAACATTGAAGTAAAGCTCAGTTTTCATAGCTCTGTCGCTCGCCACATTCCTTACTCCCGCCTTTTTTGCAGCGTAGCAAGAAGACGGGTTTCACAGTTTTGTATTTTCGAGTGGCCAGAGCTGTCATTTTTCCTGCCTTCTTTTATTTTGTTTTGTTCCCAGCTGGTTTATTTTATTTTTTAAAAAGTTTTATTACTATAAACCAAATTTTTTGTTTGTGGGTACAGCTAATTATAAATATGCAAAGACGAAATATAACACCAAAGCACAGTTAAATATAAATATATATAACCACAACAAAAAACGGTCAAGACGATCTGCGACACTCGGGTGCGGGTTAAAGGTATACGGACGTCACATGCACTCAGACCAATCATGATAGTGTCGCCGGCGACAGACGAAACTCTGAAAACTGATGAGCTTGATACATTTATTAACCCGACTGCCTCAGGAGGGATCTGTTTCACATTTTTTGGTTTGAATGTATATATCCAAAAGGCTCAATGGCTTGTTGGATTTTGGTATATGAAGTGTCGTTGGATCCGTCTTAGCAGTGTGAGTAATAGAGTATATTAAACTTTTATTGAAACAAAATGGCGAATGTTAATAAAAGAATCAACCTTGAAATTCATATCACAGTCATATCTCAAAGGCTGTAGCTTAAACGGTTTGGATTTTGGCATATGAGGTGCCTCTAGATTAGAGACTGTGTAGATGATCAACGTGTTTTCAATATTTACTTACAAATTAGGGTTGGATTGAACAATTTTTATCTCTATCCATTTTAATGATATTTTTGAAAAACAAGACAAACAGTAAAATGGGAACACTTTTTATTTTGACATTTTAACAAAATCATATATTACAAAAGTTGCTTCAAGCAGCTACTTCACACACACCAATTCAACAATGGGTACAAAATCATATTCCATTCTTTGAATAATAGTAAAGAACAGTATACAAAGAAACATTCTAAATCTTATTAGTATATAGTCAATAAAGTAAATAAATAAATAAATAAAGTTAATATTAATCAATATGAATATATAGGGCAAATGTACATGTATGCTATTAATAGCATGTCAAAAAAACTCAATAAAATAATGAATATATTTACCTTGCATACTCCTATTCATCTAGCACGAAAATCTGGTCAAAACATGGCAAAGTTCACGTTTAGTTACTTTATTTTCAAGATTGTGATTATGTGGATATTTTTGAACTTGGTGGACTACACCCAGAACATCAAATTGTATTATACTGCTAGTGATGGATAAATATTTCTATAAACGCGTCAGGAAGCTACAAAAAGTTACTAAAATGATAGTAAAAGACTATTTTATGATAATTCATACAGTAAAAGTTGGCTTGCTACGCCCATGTAATGTAAACATAACCTTACTTACCGATGAAATGATAAATTAGCCGATTCTGGATAATTGCTGTTTATCTTGCACACATAACACGATCTCACCATTGTTCAGAAGGTAACAGTTCAATATCACTAACAAACTTAAATAGCAAAAAAATAATGATTTGTAAAAATGCACAACTCAAACACAAAATACGCACTTCGCACTATCGTAAAATGGCCATTCATA